AACACACCGCCATCGCTCATCACAGCACTTCTGCTCCCACCGTCGACCAACATCTCACAACCATCAACGACCTTCGTCACTTATTCACCCGTCACTCTAAACCCACACAAGATGCGTGAGCTCATTACGTGAGTTACCGTACGTGAAGGCTCTTCTGTCGGAAGCACAACATTCCCTTGCAGGATGGGAAATGGAGGCCCGACCTTCTTCGGTCCGTGCGCGCGCTGTTGAGAAGAAATGGACAGGAAGCAGAAATCGCGGGCCGGGTCACCACACGCGTTACGTCTTGGCGCACGGCAGGCTTTCTGTGTGGAAAGGGAGTGGATGGTGGATTGGACAGGGTCATAGGCTGCTACAAGGCTGGTCTGCCTTTGCAGTGATGTACATGTGGGAACTTGCCGACATGCAGCCTGAACTTTCGCGGACGGAGAGACCCTCTAATCAGACAGCTGACGACGTGCTTGCATCCTCGGTCGCCTCCCTTCGAACATCAGCGTGCAGATCGGACAGGCAGGAAATGCTGTGGGAACTGCCTTTTGGCAGACGTGCTTGGCCGAGCATGGTCTGAGCGACGATGGTGTGAGTCTTCCTTGCTGTGAGCTACACCTCATCACTTCTTTCTCGCTAACGATCTTTGCGCGTCACTTTGCTCCCTGCCGTCTCAGACCTACATTGGCAACAATGAAGATGTCCAGCTGTCCAAGATTGGCGTGTTTTTCAACCCGGTCAGTCAGACTGGATCTTCGCCTTGCGCCACATTTCTCTGCCTAATGCACGCTGAATCTCTTGTGTACAGAGCGGTACGGAGAACAAGTATGTTCCCCGATCCGTTCAAGTGGATCTCGAGCCAGGCACGCTTGACCACATCCGCTCTGGGCCCACTGGCAAGCTTTATCGCCCTGACTCGTTCGTTGGCGGAGAGGTGCGCTCTGCGTCATGGCTGCCATTTTGCCTCCATGGAGCGCTGATGCCCCGCGAATCCTCCCCTACCTCTGCTATCATCCCCATAGTCCGGTGCCGGGAATAACTTCGCAAAGGGGTACTACACTGAGGGCGCAGAGCTGATAGAGAACGTCATGGATGTCGTTCGCAAGGAGGCCGAAAGAGCTGAGGGCCTCCAAGGCTTCCAGCTTGTCCACTCTTTGGGTGGTGGCACCGGTTCGGGTCTGGGCACGAACTTGCTCACCAAGCTGCGCGAAGAATTCCCCGACCGTGAGTGACATTCTGCTTTGCACAGCGAGCATCACGTGTCAAGCGCTGGACGCTTACGTCTGACTCCGCTGAGACTGCCAATCCAGGCATGCTTGCAACTTGGTCCATCCTTCCCTCACCTAAGGTGAGTTTTTGGGATCTTGATAACGCATGCTGATCGGCCAGAAGGGGCGCTGACGTGTCGCCGTGCGGCTTGCTGTCATCAGGTGTCCGACACTGTTGTCGAGCCGTACAATGCCACTCTGTCTTTCCACCAGCTGGTTGAGAACGCAGATCTTTCCTTCTCGCTCGACAACGAGGCGCTTTGTGAGTTTCGGATTTAGCAGTGTCACTGGGCTTCTGGACCAGAATTCTCAGCCATGGCATCTTCTCCTGCTGCGCAGACGACATTTGTCAACGAACACTCAAGCTAAAGGAACCCAAGTACACCGATCTGAACACTATCATCTCGTACGCCATGTCTGGTTGCTCGACTACCCTCCGCGTACGTGCCTCCAAGCTATTGGGTGTGTTGCTTGGTCCACGCTGAACATCACCTTTCCTCCAATGATAGTTCCCTGGTCAGCTAAACTCTGATCTGCGTAAGCTGGGTGTCAACATGGTCCCTTTCCCACGTCTGCACTTCTTCTCTGTCGGATTTGCGCCTTTGGTGTCCCCGGGCTCCAAAGCATATCGTGAGTGGGTGCTGCGTCTACCTTCTGATCACAAGTCTCTGAGCGCAGACATCCTATGTCGATCATCAGAACAAGTCTCGGTGCCCGAGCTGGTTCAGCAAGGCTTTGACCCGCGCAACATCATGGCCGCGATTGACCCTCGTCGTAAGTGTTTATATTTCACGGGTCTGCGGATCGTTCGCGGCGCTGAGACAAGCATCCTCCTCCAGTTGGAAAGTACCTGACGGTGGCTGCTATCTTCAGAGGCAAGGTGAGCGTTCCTCCATCAAAGTCAGTCCGTGCACTTGACATGTACTCACCCTTGCCTTGATTGCTCCTGCAGGTTTCATCTCGCGATGTCGAGCAAGAGATGATTAACATTCAGACCAAGAGCGCGACGCAATTCGTCGAGTGGATTCCACAAGTGAGTCTCGGTGTGTCATCCTATCGTGGTCGTGATCTGCAGTCGCTGACCATCAGGATGAATCCGCTACTCGCAGAACATCCTGACTTCTCTCTGCGACATTCCTCCACCCGGACTGCGCATGAGCGCCACTTTCATTGCCAACACAACCTCCATCCAAGAGGTAAGTACCTTACATTCTCATTGAGGTTGGTACTAAACTGGACAGATTGATTGCAACGTTGACATTTTTTGCGCGACTTGCAGCTCTTCAAGCGCACGCACGAATCTTTCGCTCTCATGTTCCGCCGCAAAGCCTTCTTGCATTGGTGTGTGACGCCATTTGGGAAAGCCGCGCTGGCGATGCTGGCCGCTGACGTTTCTGCCTCTCCTGACGCGCCGTCTGTAGGTACACCGGCGAAGGCATGGAGTAAGTCCCGGTTCTGTGGTCTGTGGGCCGACAGTAGAGTACAACTGACCCTTTCTTGCCCCTCGCAGCGAAATGGAGTTCTCAGAGGCCGAGTCGAACTTGCTCGACCTCATCTCCGAGTACCAGCAATACGAGGCTGTTGGCGCAGAGGATGAGGAACTTGGGGAGTACGTCGAGGAAGAAGAGGCAGAGCCTTTGGAGTAAGCGAAGCGCGAGTGGGTGTTGCACCTTACGGGTCAAGAAAAAAAAAAGAAAAAAAGTGCCACCTCAAAGTTTCTCCATATAAAAACGAAACGATGCCCCAGCTCTTGTACACCTTTCTTCTGCGACCATGGGCATATACCCATTATTTCTTGCCCTCGCTTGTTCGTCTCTCTGATCAAGCTTCTTTGTTTGCCTCTGCGAATGCTTTCTCGCGAACGTGCTTCATGCCTGTCAGCCAGCCGAGTGTGTTCGTGATGGCCCCTATTAGTGCTTCAACAGCTCGAAGGGCAAGTATCATATTTCGCCATTGTCGCTCGCTTCAATCAGGATCTTCGGATGCGAGTAATGCATGGCAGCATGTTGTAGAGTTGTTAGAAAGGACAGCAACAGATCCAAAAGTCTTTTTGTTTATGTCGATTACGACTACTTGTACTCAAACAAGAAATCAAGAATGTAAGACGATCCCAGCGCGCGTCACGAGCCTCGCCTGTCGTGGTTTTGGAGCCGCCAAATTTATACACACGACTCACAAGATGTGAGTGGAAAGAATGTAGGCGTCGTAGCTAACTTGAATAGACGATATGATGATGCGTGCTCTGCTCAACTTTCGTGAATGTGTAATGAATGGATGGATAGACGGTCAAAGACCCAAATTTGATAAAGTACTCAGATGTGAGGGTCAGCCAAAGTTGTTTGTGATTCTTGATTGAGTCGATAGTCAAAGTCCGGGTGCGAGTCAAAGTAAGTCGGCAAGATGGCTGTATAGAGCGCATATATCATGTAGGCTCACTTCGAAAACATCACATGCTTCAGGTTTTGATTGTAAGTCAAGAGTCTCACATTGCGGCGTCAAAAGTCTAGAGGTGCAGGTCACTTACCAAAGATCATGAAAACATAGGTTTACAGCGTGTCCACATCGACCTGATTACGAGCACCTTCAACCTTGAAGACTCCTGAATTAAGTTTCTTGATTCTTGATTCAATTCTTGCTTTGAAGTCAATGAGTCCGACTTTGACTCCCAAAGGAGCACAATTCGCGATTGAAGTCGAGAATCAAGTCACGCGTTGACCTGCGTGCGGGTAAGATGATCTTGAAGGAAGTCAAGAGTTACGAGGTCTGTTTGGTGAATCGAGGGTCATCGAGTCATCAGAAGTCACAAAGTGGCGAGCTTTGTTTAGCGATGCTGTGCTCGCCGTCCAGCTGCGTAGAGCTGCACCGCTCGCTGCATGCTGTCCACAATTCAAAGACTCGAACTCGCTCGTCTCATCTCTTCGCTTCTCATACCTGATTCACAGTTCTTTCATTCGCTGTCGAGACCTGTCGCATACATCTCAACGGATCCCTTCACCTGTCATTGACGTCGACTACCAGAAGCCCAGACCCTTTCTGGGACTCCGCGCACAAGAGCCCACATTCCGTCTTGACCAACACGTTTTGCTCGCAATGGCGCGTCTACGAGGCTCAGGAAAGGTCAAGCCGGTCCGTCGCAGGAAGAAGAGATTTTTGTTGCCTCTGCCAGGGGATGTGGGTCGCCCAGACGCTAGAGACCAGCCTATGGAGCTTGACGCCAATGAGAGACCGCAAGAGGCCCTCGAGGATGCCCAGCAAGGCGACCGTGCGCTCGAAAAGGAGGATCCGCTGGCCCAAATTGTCGCGCACTTGCGCACAGCTCGTGCTGGACAGCGACAAGGTAAGAGGTGTTGCCGGGTCGGGCATTAGTGTATTCCTTTGACCTGAGGCCTCGCGCCTGCATCTTTTCGAAGCGCTCGTCATCCAGCCTCACAGGACATTTGTCGTTGGTCGACATTTTCAGTGGTACGTTGGCGTCTATCGCCCCGCAAAGAAGCCTGGCAGAAGGCGGCTCATGAACGCAGCGCATACCCACAGTGACTATGTTGTGCCCGCGCCTAGCGTTTCAGCTCGAGTGAGTCACGCTGATTGACGAAATTATGCGCATACATGCGAGCATTGAGAAGCCAGGCAAGTGCTGAATCGCTAATATCCGGGCTCCTTGACGGCGAGAAGCACTTCAAGCTCATCGCTCACGTGTAGGTGATGATTGGCTACCAAGCAAGGCCAGCCGAGCAATTTGCCCACTATATGACTGAATCCAACATGTAGGACGGATGCCGAAGATGCGTTCGTTTCATTGCATGTAAGTGTTTGGCGTCGACACGGTGGCGTCTTGCCGTGCCTAAACGTGATGCGATCCCAAAGGATCTGTCCCGCAACGGGGTATACTGCAACGGCAAACGAGTCTCCATGTCGTGCCCGCTCATCCTCTGTGACGGAGATACGATCTCGATCCCTCATGCTCAAAGTGCGTTAAAGAGGGACGAGACGCGCTGGAGGATCCATTCGCTGATGTATGTCCTCCTTCTGCAGACTTTGTGTACAAGCACGCGAAAAAGAACCAAGAAGCAGAGGTTTGTTAAGTCACAGCTTCTGAAGTTGTAAGGATGCTGAGACGAGCGTCAATGTGCCTGCCAGACCATTGTTGGAGACTATCGCATCCTTCCACGAGTGCTTGGAACGTCAGTGCTGGTGGTCCTTTTGCGCACAGGGTCACGCCCCTGACTCACGCGCTCTTCTGCGAGCAGAGGCTCCTTTGCCACCGTGCGCCTGGCCATCCAAATCGACACGGGCGCTCAAGCAGCGTGTAAGCAACAAGATCGACGTTGGATCGAAGAGGAGGAGAATGCTGCTACTGCAAGGCGCGAGATTCAGGTGCGTCGTGACTAGGCTCCTGGCGTGTAGACAGAAGCTCACGCCGCCTGGTGGACGCTAGCTCCTGCAACGCTTGTCCCACGTACGTAGATGCCAACGAAATGCTCTGGGTGCGTGTTCGGCTGCCCATAATGTTCATTCGCTACCGCAATGGCCTCCCTGCAGCCTAACATCAACGGGCTGCTGGCACTTGAGAAGGACCGTCGATACCAGTATTGCTTTGTATCTTGGTCAGTCGTGAGCGAATGCCTTGCGCCAAATTCATGCGCTGACATGCGACTCGTCCTAAAGTGCTACTGGTGGAGATCTGTTCGGGTACATCCTCGCTCATGGGCAGATCCAAGAAGCAGAGGCGAAATTCATCTTCTTCCAGCTCCAAAGTGCTCTAACAGTGAGCAGTAGTCTTCAACGTATGGTTGCATTCGCACAGCAGAGGGATCTCACTCACTCACTACTTGCAGTACGTGCACGAGCACGGAGTTGCGCATCGTGGTGAGCGGCGCAGCCATCACAGGCGCAGGATAGAAGCGCGCTGACGATGTGGGAGTGCACGTCTGCAGATATCAAAGTACGTGAAGCACGAGTGCCACTTCAGTGCGACCCCGTGCTTAGTGTTTTCTCTCAGGGAGAAAACGTACTTCTCATCACCGCCGGCAAGTTTCCCCACGTCCAGCTCGCAGACTTTGGATTGGCTTCCGAGAGGACTTTGGAAAATGCAATCGTTGGTTTGCCGCTAGGCAAGCACAATGCTCGAAGCCATTGCGGCACTGTCTCCTATCTTCCACCTGAGGTGCTTAAAACTCGTGTCGTTTTGGAGGCTTACGAAGCTACGAGCGTAAGTCAGCAGCGGTCACTCTCGTTGCGCCAAGCCACGAAGGCTGAATTTCCACACCTTTCCATCCACGCTCCCTCAAAGGTCGATGTATGGGCGCTTGGACTAGTTCTTTACGTCAGTGCGAATAACGAACGGCAAATGGCAAATACAGCCTTCTTCTTGCTGAACTCATGCGCTCGCTGTCTGCAGGTGATGCTCTCTGGAAGGCACCCTTTCGATAGCGCTCTCTTAGATGCTATGGACGACTGCACGTATGATGTGCAGCTGGAACTACTAGAGCGAGGCCACGTCACCGAGGAGTACCTTGTGGATCGGGGCCTTCTAGTGATGAAGCCTGCACCACCTTCTAGCGGCGATCAGGCAGCTCAGGATACACTTGTGGAACGGCGGGCTCTCATCCGTGCCATCTTCTCGGGCATAGACGTATCGAGTCCTGACCTAAAAGGTACGAGTGACGCAGGTGAGTAGAAAGTGCAGCCACTTTGAAAGAGCAGGCTGACCGGACCCCGTCAACAGTACGAAACTTGCTAGGTCAGCTCGTCCAGGTGCGCGTGAGCAAGCGTTTGACGGCACGGCAGGCCGGAAAATCCGCTTGGATCCAGTCTTCCTTGCCACAGCTCAAAGCGATGTACGGCGAGCGCGTTCTCGGGCGCTTCAGCTGAGGAAGCTTTTCAGCGTACGGTACCAAGCAGCAGTTGCACGCTTCGATAGTCGTGTACGATGTCTGGAATTCCGGGGCTCGTTTTCATTGACATTGTAGTCGACCGAAATGTGGCGACTGCCGATGCTCTGTTTGGCTTCGTAGCTGTTTGAATACGGACGCGCGTCAACACATCCGCGAAGACGCGAAATTATCTTCGAGAACGTTCTGCGAGGGAGATCGATTAAGCTCCGCACGGCAGCTCGGCACCAATCTCACCATCGCGAACGTGTCTCGCATCTACACAGGCTGAGAGTCTAGCCCTGCAAAGCGTCGCTGCGAATGTTGCGAGACGAGCGCATGGTTGTATGCGCTATGGCGTCTTCCAGAGCTTGATACGGATTGAGATGTTTGCCGCCATATCGTAACAAGGGTGGCCTGAAGCTCAGTCTCACGACTGGTCGGCTATACAGCGTTCTACCTGCCTCGTGCATGTCATGCGGCCAGTCGACTGCTCGCGTCTCGATCAGCTTCACAATTGTTCCCTCACATTTGGGTATGGCAGCTGATGGCGAGGCGTGCGATGTGGCCACGTGGAAGAGATCAGATGCTGAGAAACGCTGGCCGTACCGCCATGCAACTGGTGCGTGTCGTCGTGGCACTGGCTTCGCGTGTAGAAGCGGCAAATGTTTTCGGGCAACGCGTGACACAGCAAACGAGTCTTGTTGCTGAATGCTTGCTGGGTGCTCAAGTGCCAGTGTGCAAGTTGGAGGGTGCAGGGCTTGGCGCCAAGCCTCGATTGCCAAGAACGGCGGCGGGTGAAGAGCCGCTTTTCCTGCCCGTGTGCGCGGGGCCTGCAGCCAGTTCTTGGCGCGAGGCGAGTGTAGTGTGTCTTGCAGACCCAGTCGAGCGCCCAGCAGCGCGGCAGCAAAGGGTGAGACCGCTTGCGCACGTCTCGCTCTACTGTAGCTATTCTACTGCTGCATATATGCGCTGCTGTGTGCCGCGTATCGCTGAGCCTCCAGCAAGCATGCGCTTCGAGGTTGACTGGCTGCGATTTTCATTTCAGCTTTGCCAAGCCCTTGCCTGCATCCCCTGCGCGATCCTTGCCAAGCCCTCTTCCCTCCAAGGTGATCTCACATTATGCCCCCCAATCCGCTCCTTATGCTCCGCGCCTCATAATCTCCACGCGTATTCAACAGCCACTCTCAAACACCTCTTCGACTGAGTCAACTTTGTCGTTACTTTGCGTCCAAGGCATTGCGTTTACAATCACCATCATCGCCTTTTCTCACTACCCATACCTTGTGCTCTCTACGCGCGATAGCGGGTTCACCAGGCTCCAACACTACTTCACACCGTCATCACTTTTCCGCATTCGCTCACGACGCCGGCAACTAGGCCGCGTTGTTGGCAGTCAGGCCATACTATCAACATGTCCAACCACCTCAGCCCATCAGCCGCATCGGATCACAGCTCAACGTCGAATCTGTACTACTCCTCAGCAACGTCGTCGTTCGGAGCTTCGCCTGCTTCTCAGTCCACGCACGCCACCACTATGAGCTCTCGCTCATCGACTGCGCACAGCGACAATGAAGATGGCCTTTCACCCAAGCGAGAGTCGAACGATGAAGGATCTCGCGATGTCTCCGTTGAGGACTCCAAACCCACTCCGTGCCAATGGGACGGTTGCGGAAAGCTTTACAGCGACCCAGAAGACTTGTATCGCCACCTGTGCGATGACCATGTCGGTAGGAAGAGCACCAACAACCTGTGTCTGACCTGCAGATGGACTGGCTGCGACGTCAGCTGCGCTAAGCGTGATCACATCACAAGCCACTTGAGAGGTAAGTCTCGCCTCACCACAATTTGGGCGTATGCGCGACTTGGCGACCAGCTGCTCACGCCTGTCTTTCTCCATCGATAGTGCACACGCCCTTGAAACCTCACACTTGCGACATCTGCTCAAAGACTTTCAAGCGACCACAAGATCTGAAGAAGCACGAGCGCATCCACACCGAAGCTCATCAGCAAGCGCAGCAAGCTCGTCAGAAAGCAGCAAACGGCTACGGCATCACCGATCCTCACACGTACAACTCGTTCCACCTGGTTGCAGCCCAAGCTGCTCGGCCAGGGGCCATGCACCATGGCGTTCCGACCTTTGGTCATCCATTCAGTCGCTTCGGCCCAGGGTCGCAGCACGGCGCTTATCCCAATCTTCATACTGGCCACAGCCCGATGATCTCGCCCCACTCTCACCAAGCGTCGAACAACTACGCATCCGCATACTTTCCACCCGGCGCTCAGCCCTTCGGTCAGCAGCAGAATGGTGTTCAAGGCTACCACAACTTCGGTCATCACGCGGGAGGACCTCACATGAAGCCTGGATCCTACCTTCACTACGCTCAGGAGCGCCCGAAGCACACGGACGATGTCAACAGCTATCTTGGCCTCTCGCGAGGCTCCTTCAGCGGCCCAGCCGGTGCGGGACAAAAGCGCACATGGGATGAGAGCGTCGAAGCTACTCGAGGGTTTGTCGCCGACATCTCCAGCAAGGCGATGCGACCAGCCTACACC